TTTTTTTCCAATACCAGGGATTGAACTCAGGACCTTGTGTTTGCCAGGCAAGCACTTATTCTACTCAACCACCTCCCTAGCTATTAATTCTCTGAGGTATAACTAGCAAAATGTATTTTGCCCATTTTGTAGGTTGTAAAGGTTGTGTCTTCATTCTGTTGTTGTTTCTTCTGCTGTACAGAGGCATTTTAATTAGACACAATCCCATTTGGGGCAGGTGACTTCAACCTGAGTAGGAGGGTACAGTCAAGTTCTGGGGAAAGGGCTCGGGTACAGAGGAGGTGAAGGGTGTTTGTAGCTTTCACCCATCATAGAAGGGTGTTTGTAGTTTATTTCCTTGGTTAGATTAATTCCAAGGTATGCCTTTTTCTTGATGGTATTGTGAACGTTACTGTTTTCCTAATTTCTTTTTTGGCGGGTTCATTATTGGTGTACAGGAAGGCTATTGATTTTTCTGTGTTGATTTTTTTTATCCTGCTACTGTAAATTAGCAGGATAAAAAATTAAATTTGCTTTTAATTTTTGGGGAATTTACATAAAGGATCATGTCATCTGAAAATATGATAACATATTTTCCTATACAGATCCTTTTTATTTCTTACTCTTCCCTGATTTTTCTGGCTAATATGTTGAGTACTATATTGAACAAGAGTAGTGATAGTAGATATCCTTGACTTGTTCTTGATTTTAGTGGGAAAACGTTCAGCTTTTCCCCATTTAATATGATGTTGGCCATTGCTTTGTTATAAATAGTTTTTATCAGATTGAGATAAGGTCTTTCTATATCATCTTCAAGGTTTTAAAAAAATCACAAATGGATGTTGGATTTCCTCAAAATTTTTCTGCACCTATTAATGTTATTATGTGATTTTTGTCCTTGTTTCTCTTTATGTGATATATTTATTGATTTGCATATATTAAACCATCCTCGCATCCCTAGGATGAAATCTACCTGGTCATAATATATAATCTTCTTCATGATTTGTTACATTCTGTTTGCCAGTATCTTGCTGAGTATTTTTTTTCCAAAATTTTATTGATAAACAGCAATGAGACAGTTTCAAATCAAATCGGAAGTACAGTTTCAACAAATAACCCACTGCATATATTCTTAGTGGTTAATTGCTGTACAAGATGCGGACTTGAGATCCTATTTACAAACACCATTAGAACAAATCCCTCTATTCATTAAGAGAATGCAACTATATATCTATCCTAACCACTTTGAATACACAGATACAAAATGGACATTCATCGGTATACCCCATTTGTTCTAAGTTCTGTTATTGAATATTATAGGTGTGTAAACTCAGCAAAATATTCTAAAAGAGTCCAGTAGACCATAATAGCATTGGGTCTCCTGTTTAACTGGCAATGTCAGAAATTATTGACCTGAGTCCCCCACAGCTCAACATAACAGCATGGCTTTACTTCCTATATTTCGTCTTCATACTTTTCTACTGGATGGATAAGACCAAGGTAAAGCAGGACCTGTGCAACAAGAGTTGTAGCTTTTTGGTCTGAGAAGGTCAGTGAAATCCCCTCAGGATTTATCCTGAGATCCTGTACCTCAGATTATTGCTGAGTATTTTTGTGTCTAATTTATTAAGGAAATTGATCTGTAGATTTCTTTTTTAGTTAAGTCCTTGACTAGTTTTGAAATCAGGGTAATGCTAGCTTCATGAATGAGTCTGGGAGTGCTCCTTCCCTTTCAATTTCACTGAAGAGTTTAAGGGTATTAGTGTTATATCCTTTGTTGGCCTCATCATTTCCATCTAGAATACTCTTGAATAGCTTTGGAGTGCTGGTTTAATGTTTGTATATCTATTAAGATGTTCTTTGTCATGAACTGTCCTTATTTCTCCATCAATTTTGGAAGAAAAAAGTAGCAGGATATATTAGTTATTATCTAATTATATCACATCATAATTATCTAATATATTAGATAGATTAGTTATTACATTGTTGGAAATTGTTGAAACACTTCATTGCAAGTCTCCTGGCCTTTAAAGTTTGTGTTGAGAAGTTGACTATAATCATAATGGATTTAATTTTAAAGTGATCATTTTACTTTTCTCTAGCTTTTAAGATTCTATCTTTTTGTTGGGCATCTGGAAGTTTGGCTGTGATGTGTCACGGGAGCTTCTTTTTTTCTTTGTAGTTATTTGGTGCCCTGTGAGCCTCACTTAGCTGTAGCTTGAGTTCTTTTCTCATACTTGGAAAGCTTTTCACTATGTATTCTGTGTGTTGTCTTCTAGTTTCTAACTCCAGCTAGCCTTAGGTTAGTCTTTTTTGTGCCCTTTAGTAGCTGTTGGATGAATCTTCCCACTTTTACCATTTTTAAAACTTCTCTGAGTATTCATGTATTTTCATTTTTTTCCCTCAATTTCTGAAACCCTATTCAGAGTGGTCATTTCTGCTATTTACAAATTCCATAAAATTCTTTGTCTCATGACAGTCTATCAAGTTGTCATGGAGTCTATATCTCTGGTAAATTTGTCGTTGATGTTTTAAACTGTTTTGATGAGGTCTTCCAATTTTTGATTTGTTTGTCCTTAATCATATTGGTCATTCTGTAAGAATGTTCTACTATCATTTACTTGGGTTATATCTTTTATGAACTCACTGAGTTTTTTTTTTTTTTTCTATTCAACATGTTCAAGATAAGGCTGTAACTTGTATGTCCTGCTGCCAGGCAGCTCTGATTTGAATTTGACAGTCCTGGCTTGAATGGACTGGTACAGGCCACGGTGGTACTGCTTAACCATCTGAAGAAATGGGCACTGATGGGGCCTGTGGGATAACTCAGCAGACTAAAGTGCCTGCTTAGGCAAGCTTAGGCAAGTGCA